CCCCCCCCCCCCCCAAAAGACGTGAAATCGGCCCAAGGGTATTTTTCCTGATAAGCCCTATTGAATTTTGTATCAACGGAAAGAACAAGTTGAGACGAATATTTTGGTACTAAATTGATGAGATTTTAATCGACTCTCGAAGGCTAAAAGTAATAAACAAAATAACTCATTTTTGGTCATTAATTGATCCGTGCACAGTGGATTCAATTTCATAATAAATATATCATACAGATGGTACTAAAAATTATGAATTCGATAGCTCTTGCATATGGCTTCAATTCTATACACAAATCGTTGATTGATTATTTAGTTTCATGAGATAAAGATCCAATGCATTAAGAAGTACTATTAGTATATTTGCTATATTTGTCATTTATCCTTATCTTTCAGTAAATATTTACTTATAAAAATTGAAATAGTCAAATTTCTGGTCTTGCTCATTTGATAGTCCTTTTAAAAAGCTACATGTATTTTAGACAAAGGTATGATGGAACAAATTTCAAGGGAAAAAAGCGTACTTCTGTACTTCAGAAGTGCAGAAGTACGATTTTCGTCCCTTGACAAATCTGCACATTGGCACATATAATTATTTTTTCTTTATAATAGTATCATACAGATTTTTATATCCTTGATAAATATCCATTGGCTGTACGACCATTTTATACAATGCCTGATCCACATAATCCTGCAAGAATATTATGTCCCCTCGTTTTCTTATTTCAATTGAATACTTTCTCACGTTAGAAATATTCAAACAGTTATGATATGATCATGCGTAGCGAAGAAATTCTCTCGAGTGCTCAACATATCCATGACAACGGATTTTTCCTTGTATAAGAATATTATATAAGTTTGATTGAGTTTTTTCTTAGATGAACAATTATTACTTGACCGTGTAAAACATCATAAAATCATATGTTGATGCATTTTGCCACCGCCTGCTGGCGGTGGCATTGGTTTCGGACGTGTACTTATGCTCTACTTAGGTTTAGGAAATGTACGAAAAACATCAATGTTTCCACGTGATCCGAAACGTATCTCGCGCCGTAAAAGATCATAAATCGAGTTTTTTGTCAATAATTTTGGGATGAAAAGTAACTAATATAAATTTTTGAAAGTAAACAACAGATTTGCAGTGCTAAAATGTCCACTAAAAGCAGGGTGAGGAATAAACGGGTGTCGGTGTCAGTGAAGAAGAGATAAACACGATCGAACCCACCCTTATTTGTGTATATCATTGGCGAAAATACTAACATACACAGCCTACTTCATTATTATTATTTTTTAATGGCAAAAAAACTAACTAGAAGCACATACATGTGCTTTGTTCTTATAAAGAGAGAAGAAAGTTTTATTATGTTTGTGGCTTCTTTCGAAAGAAAAACCTTGTTTCTCTTATCGGACGTTATTTGCAAGAAACTTCGAAAGGTGGTAGAACAACTCTTTTATATTATCGTAGTGAAGAAACGATACAACAACGTGTAAAAAAAGTGTGATTATCATTATTACAGTAGGATATTTTAAACAACAATATGAATCGATTCATTCGTTTTGAATATAATAATAAAAAATTGCAACCTATAGATAATTTTAAAGATAAATCAATTTTGTCAATAGACGTAGCTCTTCAATCGGTTTTGTCTATCGTTGACCGATTGGACCATTACATTGAAGACGCTAAACACTCTCGTCATTACCCTTCGGATCATGGCCTCACTGAAGACGAAGCAGTCGCTATATACCTCTACACAAATGATTGGAATGGTCAAAGTTTAAATCGGGTTTTAAACAGTGCATTACAATCAGAAAGTCAAACAGCTTTAAAATCTTGGCTAAGTTTTCTGAAATTATTCAATGCAGCACTGAGAAAATTACCGACTGTCCATAATACACTATGGCGAGGTTTACCATTTGACGTTGTAGAAAAATTAAATGAAAATGAAGATTTGATATTATGTAGTATAATTTCATGTTCATCGTCAAGTACTATTATAGAACATCTTCTTGATGATAAATCAATTATTTGCTCAGTCAAATCATTCAGTGGCAAGAATATTCAGGGTTATACAGCTAAAAACGAGGAGGATGAAGTACTGTTGCTTCCGGGTACACGTTTGCGTGTGAAACGCAAACAGTTGAACAATGAACAAGATAAACCCATCATATATTTAGAAGAAATCAACGAAGTTGAAATACATGATATGAACAACTCTCTTAATGAGGAAGATATAAGTGAATTTCTAATTAGTTCAAGTATTTTCATCTGTAATTTTTATAACTTTGATATAGGCGACGTTCAGCGTTCACAAACAACGCCTTCTATATCGACTAAGATGATAAACAGCGAAGCAATCTTAAGTAAGAGCGACTACAAAATCATCGTAGGAACGACGAATATTAAATCCTTTTCAGACAAAACAAAATCAAAGGAAACTATGATTCATGCAGTAATTACTTTTTCTAATGGTGATCGATATGAAATAGCTTACCGAAATGATAAGAAGCATGGTTATGGGAAGTTTTATTGTATTGACGGAAACGTATTTGACGGCCCAAATGCTGATCAGAAGGCAAATGGCGATGGAATATGTGTTTTTGAAACTGGCAGCCGTTTTATTGGAACATACAAAAATGGTAATAGGTATGGCCATGGTATTCTTCTCTGTGAGAATGGAGCAATACAAGCTTGTGACTGGGTTGATGATGTGCGTAAAGGTCAAAGTCTACAAATACAGTCAACCGGTGGACTTTATGAGTGGAAGGACGAGATGGGCAAAGGACGTTGGTATCGTGCTTATGATGATGAATATGGAAATAAATATATAGGGAATATAGTTTATGACAAAGCACATGGATTAGGTATACGAATTTGGCCAAATAATACTCGATATGAAGGTAATTTCATAGATGATAAAAAACATGGATATGGTGTTTACTTTTATACTGATCGGGATAGATACATGGGTGAATGGTATAATGACGAAACAAGCGGAAAAGGACTGTTAATTTGGAGTAATGGTACTTATTATCAAGGAGAATTTATCAATGGGAAGAAACATGGCTATGGAAAAATAATTTTTGCTAATGGACAAATACAAGAAGGTGTATGGCGAAGTGATGAGTATGTCGCTTAAGTGTATCGTCAACTTGCGCTAATCAATGAGGTAGTGGTTGACATGGGCTGAAATACATCATCGGCCAATATAAGCTTGATAGTTTAATATCAGTGCATTTTACATCAAAAATAAACAAAATTGTATTCAGATCTGGAATCAAATTTGAATATAGATACTTTTCTTTCTGAGATGAGCTTCTTCAGGGCAACGATGCATATGAACGCTAATAAGAGAGACTTGAAAAAAAAGAAATACATTTTTCGAGATAATAAACTATAGTTCTAGTAAGGTCATTTCATTTTAGCAACACATAAATAAATAAATATCCATTAAAATGATGAAGAATTTTTAAAATATCCAAATTTTCTCCCAGTTAGACCTAAGGGTGTGAGTGTGGGTGTAATACGACTAACACCCACACCCGCTAAAACACACAAATCATTCAATCGAGTTTTCGACATCGTATTACGTGTGGTATTTTCTATCAGCTATATTTTACTAAATGCTCATTCACAGCTTGCCCACGCAACAGGTAGTTTTTTTAACGACCGGCGGTTGGACTCAGCGCAACCATGCCCTACCTTGGTTACGCCACTAGTACATACTAAATAGTAATATCTGAATTAATAAGTAGAGATTTTTTTAATAATTCGGTTGTATACTCCATAAATAATTGCTAATTTCCCCCAGATAGGAATATGCTTATGAGTACAATAATCGTTTGTTGAACGTGATTATTAATGTTATTGTTACTGTAGAAGTTCGTTTGAATAAGCGAAGATCATACTTGTTTACTTAATTTTCCTGTGGGCGACCCTCAACCGATTGAATTTGATAATCAAATATTAGATTAATTAAAATCAAAATTAAATATATCAACGCAAAAAATTTTAGCCACTCAATTGTGTAAACGAACTAAATATCGTTTAGTTCATTTTTCAAGTCTCGATGATAATATAGAAGCACAGGAAACTCTTACTGAAATCGATTTTGGTGAATATATAAATCCATTTATATGTGGTACTATTGTTACAAATACTTCAACAACAAGTGACTTTGTTTCTCGGTTTTTCGCTCCATGGCTTGGTATTCTTGAAGGTCCAGTTCGCGGTAGTGCTCATACAGTATTGACTGTATATTGGTCTCGAATATTAAATAATAAATCAGTTCTTCATGCTTATCAAAAAAGTAGTCGAGTTGGTTATGTTGATTGTGAATTAGATGAAATTAATCAACGTGTTCTGTTACGAGGATCAGCTATAATTATAATGCATGGACAACTTTTTCTTAAACAATATCAATTAAATTTTTTGAAAAAATAAATAAATCTTATTAAAAATTGATTCATTAAAAGAGTTCGATTTCCACACGAATATCGTATGAGAGAGCATTTTAAACTAATCTTAAGATCAAAATTAGAAACGATCATGCTCATTAGATTCTAGTAGAAATATTAATTGTAAAAGATGCACCAGTATATTGGTGTATGTAGTGTATGAAACATAATATCGACTTTCATTATAAATGCAGCAAGAAGTAGGAATGGCCATGTGAGAATGATATTCGAAAAAATGTGACTCAGCACTCAAGCAGTGAGACAAAGAAATATTGATATTGAAAGCATTCTATACTGACAGTTTCACGCATCAACGATCACTAGTACAATTAAAATACGTGCGTCTTTCATATTCTTTCTTATATTCTGTGTTTATTTCATACTAGCTTTCACTTGATCAAAAACATATTATTTATTGCCGAACTGTAACTATTCATCGTTTATGCCTATTCTAAAACGAAGTTAAATACAACATGTTGTTCGATTAGTACTAACGAATGGACAAAAATAATACCCCCTGACAAAAATTTTCGTGAGATTACCATTGCAGATAGTTCTTGCACCTAGAGAACTATTGGCATAGCAAGATGTCAAGATAAAAGCTTATCAGAAGAACTTGATCTTGGAATAATGTATTTCGATATAAGATGCCGACCTGTAAAAATGATGTGTAAATATGAATTTCAATGATACTCAAAACGCTTTTAGTTGCACACCCCAATGAATTTATTTTGGCATTGGTAAAACAAGAATATAAACCTGTAAACAATATAAAATCTCTTGGAACAGTTACGATGTCCTATATTAATAAATTAAAAGACTATTGATATCCCAATAAAACTTTAACAAAAGTGAATGTTATCAGAGGTAAAATGGTTTCAAGTCAAAGATTTTTTTGGAAATTCAATCGGTGTTAATGCTAGATTTTACACAATACAAAATCGAACTTCTATTGTACATATAGAGAACTGAAAAGTTAGTACATTAATCGTATTAATATTGGATACAATTTGACAATAATATATGTAATCCTCGCTTACGGGATTATTTGTAATAAATTATACAAGTGATTCAACATTGTTTCAGAGAATATATGGAAGATTAGGTACAATCGTAATGGATTTTCTCACCAAGTGTTGGCGATTGTTACTTTAGTAAATGGGATCAAATTGACACACAAGTCGTTGATATCAATTATATATCATTTTTCAAACAGCCTCAACGTAGTGAGATTTGACTTACAGATAGAAATTGTAATCATTAACCACAGCATATTTAAATACACACCACTATAAAAAATGCGAGTATAATAATGATTGCGTATCTATCTCATATCTTAGGAAATCGAGTACCACTAAAATTCAATATCATATTTTGAAAAAATCTTTTTTTCAGATCGATAAAGAAGAAATTTCTCTGACAAAAAATACTTCAAATAATCGACGATAAAAAGATACGAGAGACGTAAAAGGTATGTTCAATTTTATATTTACCCAATCTTACTCTATAATTTTCTTATCAGTAGAGAGCAAAAAGTCCGCACATTCATTTTCTTAACTTTCGTACGAGAAACATGGCTGTTAACAACGATACAATAATCTATTCTCTTCATCAACTAGAAACTCTTCTGTTCCATGGCAACTTACTTGATGAAATTGAGTCTCACCCATTAATTAGTCTTCGTGATCAATTGGAATCAATTAATCCCAAACCGGATTCAAGAACAATTGATGAAGATAAGAAACTTATTGCTGAGCTTAATTACTTTGAAATAAATGCTTTTTATCATCTTATCAAACAATATTCTTTAATAGTTCCATCTACTCTCTTAACAGCTCTATTCGATGTAATTCGTTTTAAAATCTCTATGGATATGGAAACATATCCATCGATATGTGAATATTATTTTGATTGGTCACTTACTTATTTAGCTGCTGATTCTACAATTAATTATCTAATTGATACAAAACATGTTCCATCAAATATGGATGAATATTTTCTTGCTCTATTTTCTCGTATTGGTCACCAATCGGTTTGTATTAAAAGTCATATTTCTTATTCAATGAGTATTTCACAGAAAAAGACTCCAACATTTTTTCAATTAAACGATTCAACCGAACGTCTTTTACAAGCGTTTATAATTTATTTAAATAATTACTTTTTAAACAACCATCAACAATGCCAAAGTCATTTTCGTATTCTAAATTGGATTCTCAATATGACAGATATCTACGGGTTTGTTCCTTATTTCGTTAAGACTGGCTATCCGAATGCTCTTTCACAGTGGATGTCAATTAAGCACGATGAAAGGAAAGATATTTCTCTTGAATTATGGGATTTCATTTTTGGCATATTATATAATCTAACTCGGCATTGGAGCGGTGTAGAAGCATTGAATAAATGTAAAATGATTAATACTCTCAAGCAATGGAAAGAACAATACGCATTGAAATTGCCAGTTGTTGAGGATGATAATGAACACGATAAAGAAATTCTTATTACTTATTATCTTGCTTATTTGGCCTTATTAGAACCGAAGGAATTAAAAAAAGAAAGTATATCTAATGTTCAAACAATTCTTGATTATATTCTTGAACAAACAATACAAGCATTTAATTCGGCCAATCTGTTCTGTGGCTCATATAATGTTTGTGAATTTTTAGAGGGACTTGCTAAAATGGTTGTTAATGATGCATTTCTTATTTATATTATATCACGTGAAGGTATCTATGAATTATTTATTGAAAAATTTCTTTTATTTAATGCCATATGTGAATCAACAACACTTAATACAATGATTTGCTCATCGCTCTATACCATAATTTGGTCAATTAGTTTTCAACCTGAATATAGTATGAAATTAAAGTCAACCGATAAATTGATTTCAACAGTTGAGCAACGAGTAAAAAATGAATCAAATGATGAATATGCTTTAGAAATGAAACGCGTAGCTAAAGGAATTCTTTTTAACCTTGATTGTTTACAAATGGATGCACAAGCAACTGCGGTTGATCCCAATGGCGATGATAATCGAATAAAAGTGATGATTTCATATGCACATCGTGATATCACATTTTGTGAGAAAATTGTGGCGAAACTTCAAAAGTATTTCCAAGGTGATATTTGGGTAGATTTTAATAAATTATCAGTATCACACGAAGATGATTGGGAAGACATAGCTAAAGCAATAAGCCAATGTGATGTTATTCTCATGATTGTAACAGAAAATTATTGTAGTTCAAAAAGTTGCCGAAGAGAAGTCATTCATGCTGACAAACGAAACAAACGTATGATACCTATTTACCAAGGAAATGATTATAAAGCAGAGGATTGGTTTGAAATTCGTGCTGGCTCTGCAACATGGGTTCGGTTTGGAGATAAGAAAAGTGATGAAGCAGTTATGGAAAGCCTTCTAAAATTAATTGATGTACAAGATAAAGTTAAACAACATGATAGCCTAGTTCCTGTGAGACATGAATCACATTTTCATAGTACAGCGGAAATTGATGCCAACAAAACTATCAACATTCAAACTGTTGAAACGTTATTACCTATCAATTCAAACTCAATTACAGAAGTTTCAAATATACAATTACACTCAAGTCCGAGCGTAACATCGCACGCTATACCTGCTTCTCCAATCGAACAATGGACTTCTGACGAAGTGCAACAATGGCTTCGTTTACCACCATCTACTCTTCAACTATCGTCTGGTCGAGCTTTACTCGCATATATGAAGCTATTATCACATGATGATGCACAAAATGACGAATATGAAACTCGAATGCGCCACCATGGTGTAAGCCGAGAACAATTTTCTAATTTAATCTCATCATTTGCTTCTGTTTGTTCATTAAATAACATTAAAACAATCTCAAATGAGTTATCTGATCAGTGGACACGTGAAGAAATAAAAACTTGGTTTCAACAAAATCATTTGTCCAGTTATTTATTAGATACATTGGATTTTACCGATGGATCTCAACTGATTACTTATGGGCAATTAGTTGTTAATTCACCATCACGTATTGGTGAAGAATATGATCGACTGAAAAACAAAATTGGAAAAGATCTTTTTCATCTCGATGAATATGCTCGACTTTTGAATGGATTGAAAAAACTTGTCAGTCAATCAAAACTAAAAGAAGAACCATCTTTATGTAACATTTTATAATATTGTTTCTTAAGAACTATAATTTGATCCTCGGATTGCTATTAACTCATGTCGTGTATGATGAACAAACTATCTTTATATTACTTCATTAATACACTGAGTAGTTCGCATTAGCAATGTATTTTTTTATTACTATCATGAATGTGATTGTGAATGAACAAAATACCAACATCCCTTACATATCTCCACCTCACTCGAGCAGTGTTCAAGGACTGAAGATAACGACTTTTCCAGTTTCCTAAAAGTATGAACTGAATCGGAATCGACTAAATTGCTCAAGCATTCCGACAATTTGAAAAATAGTAGACTGATATATTTGGTTGAAACACATTCCCGGCATTTATTGATTAGTTAATACAAAAGCTAAGAGTTACTATAAAACTATTCTAAGTATCACATGTTGAGGGTACGAGCGACAATGTTCACACATACTTGCGCACACTGGTTGTGTCATTTGAATATTCAGTTACGCCAGTCATGGCAATAGAATTTTAGTTATATAATAGTTCTTTGCTCACCTCTATTATTTTATTTACATTGCGTATTAATTATCATCATTGTGCTCGTTAAAATTCTACTCTAGTATAAGTATGAGAAAAGCAACAGTGAACTATACGAGATTAAGGACACCATCTACTGGAGCCATCATTGTTTTTCTATATTTTTCCGTTTCAACATTTTCACAGCACTCCATTCTCGCAATGGGCGGGTTTGTAGTGATAACCGAATTGATTGATCTTGTTCGGATCGAATGATCATTTTTATCGAGAAATTAACGATTTAAAGTAATTAAGTGCTAATGGCATACCTGGACATAGCTTTGGATTTTTCAGTGGATTTTCTTTATTTGGCCTCACTCTCTCAGCAAAATCATATTTTCGAATTTCAACCTAAAACTTTGTAGACATAGACTTCAACAAAACTAGCTTACAAAGATAAAGTTCAGAATTTTCTCACACACACTCTCCAAAGTATGAATCCCTCAAGTTATTAGCACTTTTCAATAGAAGTTATATGATTAGTTTCTACTATTTTTCAAATTGTCGGAATTTCAAAGGAATCTGGGCATTGTTCGAAATTCTAGTGGAAATCGGACATTGTCCAATTTCAGATATACAAATTCTATTTTCTCGCGCTGAAGAAATATATTTTTATATAGAACATGTTATCTATTGGCAAAGCTGAATATTCAAAATGCATGCAAAATAAGCAGATAGAAAAAAGGCTATGTTTTATTTCTTTTGCAGATCTTACTTTATTTGTTTATTTGAATAGTTTGTACTCTTATTGAGATATATACATAGAGTAAGTCGTGATGTAGTTTCGAGGCATCCAGCTATAGAAACTTCAGCATCGTTACATCTCATTCATTTGTCTGTATCCCAGCAGATTTTCGAAGAACAAAATTTTTATAAAGTAAAAGCTCCGGAAAATTTTCTGCATTGTTAAATATATGAGAAACTTCTTTTTATTCCTCAGCATCCAATGTAGCATTCTGGTTCTAATAATTATTTGTATTAGACTATATTAAACAATTCGCTTGGTAACGTAAATATTATTGAACCGCATGCTTTCAACAATAAGTAAGTGGGATTCTTCCTTTTTGAGTTTCGTTTTTTATTGACGAAATACGATGAAATAATGAATCTTTCAGCATATTTATCTGCATTAAAGGAAACGATTTGATACTGAAAATTTCCAAATCTTATAATTCTTATTTATTTCAATAAGGAATACAATGCAAAATTTCTTTAGAACAATTCACTTTCGAGAATTGCGCCATCAAAGCACCATATTTACAACAAGTTGCCTCTTGTTATTATACATATTGGTTATTTTGCAAGATTGCAACTGCCACCAGCCAAACGGCAATGCACATTAATCTGTGTAATTCATATGGAAGGAGTGACTGTGAGCAAATACGAATTTTTTGGTCTCTTTGGTATTACTATTTGTTGACTCTTTCTGTGCATGCATATTCTTTACTGTTGCTATGCACATTCCTTCACAATCGAACACATGTTTGAATAAAAATTAAAATAAAACGAGAAAAAGGTAAACAGACAGAAATGGAATATAAAACGTGATTAAGCTGTAAAATATAAAAAAAACTGTATCATTTGAACAAAGAAAGTGGCTGAATTTCATCGTAAAATTTGTTTTCAAGAACAACATTTCATTGAATTCAAATATTAAATCGTTGTGAGTAGAGTATTAAGAAGATTCGAAAAATGAAAGAAACTATATGCAATGTCCTATAGTTTATACCATGACACAGATTATATAGTATATATCTCTTCATTTATTTTGCTTTATTTAATATAGTGTACCTAGTGATTCAATGAAGCCAGCCAAAGCAAGGAAATTTCTATAATCATGAACTTAAGGTGAGATAAGAATAACGTTGAAGATCGAAAACTTTGCTTTAGCTACCAATATAACTGAGTTAAAGGGGAAGCATTTATCACACACACTAATTTGCAGCTTTGAGAGCCAATTGCTTATGACTATAGCTTAATAAGCCAGTCACCGATGAGTAAAGCTGAGATTGAAAAACTTTGATTACAAGTTTGGGTTTTGCAGTCAGTTTGAAAGATCTGCATTATTTTATCTATTTCCCAGAACACCTCACAAACACGAATCAAAGTAACAGTAGAAAAGCTTCCATCACTCCTCTATTTAAGAGGATGTAAGTGAGTAGTTTGAAGAAAAAGTGACAAGAATGAGAATGACAACCATATATTCAGACTCACATAGTTAGGGTGTTAGTGGACGCAGGTGAGAGCGAAGATTGACTCTCACCCATATCCATTTCTTGTAGGCGCAGGGCGAGAGTATAGAGAACGTTTATAGCGCATTCTTTACGGAACTAATAATGTGAAATACTACCCATGGCGTAAATTTCTTCGAAGAAAACGCCTTCTGAGAACGCGTTTTCCCATAGCTGCGAAACGATCATTTTTTGACAGCGTTTTTTACTGTTTCCGAAATTGCGGTATCGTATATTTTGGATGAAAAACAATTGAAAACCATCAAGGACTTCATAGAACTTGAGCTGTATATACGATCATATACTCGTTTGCATTGATTCATAGAACTCTAGAACTATAATTTACATAAACTTCGATAAAGTTAAGAGATGGATTCGAACACGAGAACAAAATACTAAAAGAAATGCACACAAACCGTTCAATTAAAATAGTCAAATGATATCTCTCTTTATTGTCTCGTTATTCTGACTCTTGCATAAACTTGTTATTGAAATAGATTTTCGGTTTCTCATATCGATAAATTAAAAATTATCACTTCCTTGATACTTAAATCAAATTATTGTTGTCATGTTCCCCTTGATTTACTTTATTTTTACATTCTTTGAAATTAAAATTAGAGTACACCCTAGTCAACTCTCCCTCAAAGAATCCCCAGGGAGTCCCTGGGGAAAATGGATTAAATATCTAATTACTAATAAATTCTTCTTAATTTTTTTACAATTTAAAAAATTAAAAAGTTTTTTTTAATTTTAAAAAATCTGATTAATTCTCCCCAGAGAAATCCCCGGGGACTCACGATAGGGACTCGCCAGGGATTTCGTTATTTTGCGGGGAGTCGTCGGGGGAGAGTGGATTAGGGACACCCCATTGAAACAAATTTAATCGGATCTAAATTGGATTTAATATTTTAGAAAAATTGAGTGCACCAAATATGAATTGAGAAGAATTAAACTTAAAAATGTTTGCGTTTTATTTTCTGATTTATTGAATTCTAGTGACTATGAATTTAGCGTCCTTCAACTCAATGACATTGACAAGTGAAAGAAAGTTTCTTCTGTAATCAAAGTCCAGTTACGTCAATATCATACGAACCGAAATCATATTTTAGTCGCTTTATAGGTAGCAACATTAGTCAGTATCGGGTAATCTATATATGGTTCACAATAATTATTATTAAAATCTTAGATTAAACGAAAATTCTTTTTTTCACACGCCAACAAAACAAAGCAGCTTTATAAGTATTATCTTTGTATTATCCGTTACTGAATATCCTCTAACTGCTCAATATTGAAAGCAGCTCTTCATTGAACGCTACGAAATGCATTTTATTTCGGTGAAAGTCCAGCGAAATGATTTTTCTAAGGGAAAGCAAGTACTCTTGTTATACTCTGGTGCTCAGCAATAGTCTAAGTTCGAATTTGCTTTATAGAACGGCTTAAAATCATTAGGTTTTAGAAGACTGCAATTCTGATCTTGCATACAGAAGATTTGCATGATTTCAATCAGAAATGATGCAAAACGCGTTTGAAACACAAACGCATTGCACATTTTCTTTAAATCGTGACTCTAAAACGCGTTGTCTGCAGGCTGAAGTGCGTTTCACAGCGTTTCAATTCAAAAACGGTTCGAAACGCAATGTAGAAAAGAAACTTTTCGGATTGCTTCGAAAAATCAACGTAGCGAAACGCATTCTATCTCAATAAAATGCTGCGAAAGGCATTTTGTCTTGAAGAAACGCGTTACGTGACCCGTTTCCTTTAATTTTTTACACCAAGGGAAAGGCTCGACGGTATTTTACTATACTTTAAAATGTTTTGTTCGCAAAAAAAACGAAACGTTCAACGATTTCGTAAAATACTCTTCAAATTTCATTTCAAAACGTGAGCATTAAAGTAGAAATACTTGCCAGAACTTCATTTCTTATATCATTAATTGTTTCACTGCTAATCATATTCCACATTGAACAAAATATTTCCAATAAACAGTAGTCATAACAAATCGAAATGGTTGAAGTACTTAAGATTATCAAAAACAACGTACTGCACTGTAAGTTCTAGTCGCAATAAAAACTAGTCATGTACGTTTTCTGTTGAGGGGCCCAGGTAATTACATTCTCTTAAGAGAAGGAGTTAAACACAGGTACAAGAATATTTTGGGCGTTGGATTAAGACACAAGTGTTAAGTTACGGAGATACGTATGGAAAATGTGATAGGTTAAGTTTAAGGGGATAGTTTAGGCCGACAGATTAAGGTTAGTAGGTTACGTTAGGCGGCTAGATATAGTTTACATGCAAGCGCATATCGAGTGCATTGTAACTGTGACAAAATTTCAGTTACGAAGCCAATTTGAATGTGAATTTAAAATGGTTGGGTATGGAATCATATTTTTAGGAAACCTGAAAAAGGTTTCTATTTCGTTGCAAATCTGTGAATCCTGATTGAGAGCCGTATGGACCTCTTTTCAGTGCAGATAACTTGTAGAACCTTGTTAAAAACCCAACCAGATCCTATCGGTTCCTTTTATTTTTATTACATGATCCGATATGATCCAGCCATATGCTCGTCGAATTGCTGGTCACTGGGTTCAGAGCTTGTTGCGGCGGAATCCGATCGAATTGAGCCGAAAACCATAAAATTCCGACATAATCGGACGTAGGATCGTATCGGATCCGACAAGATCCATTGGTCGGAACTCTCGGGCTAGGCCATTCTCTTCATTTTATTCAGTACCATGCAGTCATAATAATTAATTAAGATTTAAAACAAAATGCCGACTAAACAATTATACTCTGAATAAAGTTTAGTTTTATACTTATATCTGAATATCGAGCTGCTCCTTTTTTTCCAATGCATATGTCTCGATGATCCTATGGGTGCAGTAGAAGATTATTGTATAATTCATAATAATCAAGGTATACTTTCACGTTTATATAAATACTAACTATATAAAGGATATCGTCTTTTTCAGCATAATAACAGTGCTAAATTATAGATTGTAAAGATTATTTTATCAAAACCATCTGCTAGACCGATATTCCAATAGCTTACGAAAAAATAAAAAAACCAAATATTGTGTTTCCCACAAAAAATTCTACAGAAGAAATAACTTTATCTATTTTACTGATCTTTCACTAAATTCTCGAGACAAAAACGAAAAAGTATGTTTTGTCACTTAAGTTGAAAATGTGGGTATCATCTGTTCGTCAGACGCACGCCTACAGTAACACCCTACACATTCAAGTAAAGGCTCTTTTTAGAACCAATTTTCAATCCTAAATAAATGATTTTTGTATTTTTTTCTAGCTTTTCCCTTTTTAATGAAAACATAGAAATTCTGTCTACAAATAAAAGCACGAGGCAGCAGTTTTTTTTGTGACAAAACTTAAGCAAATATTCCGATGCGGTTTACCACCTGAAATTCGTAAATTTATCTCATACTTCATTGTGAGAAGCTAACTTATGATAAAAAATCAACTTCAACTGAGCTTCCCCCAATTTTATAAATTTCCACCCCTCCCCCTCTTGAAATATCATAACACAGCGCTTTCCTATCATTCTCGTCTCTATTGTAGAGAACTCCTAAAATATTTTGAAAAGTACTCATCTGCATGGATAGTCTCAAAACAACATAAATACGTGAATGTCTTAATGGTTCTTCTCCTTCCTGCTGAAAGGTGGTAATATCTTTTCTTAATAACCTAATATTACAAAATATCAAATACATAAGTTCGAGTATGAGCATATTGCGTAATGACCAGTCTACTTCTTCTATCGCGTGTTTTGATTTGTAAATTTTTATAATATGTACCTTATTGATGTCTTTTGTTCTCATAATTTCTTAAAAACAATTTATACCAATGAATATCAATCGATCCCGTGAGATCCCAATAGATCCTATTGGATCCTGGGATCCGCTTGTCCCCCTTGGGTACTCCATATATCAAAGGTCTCTATTATCCAATTAATAAAAGACGAGTTGGAATTAAAAGAATTGAATTAGTTAAATTGATCAAACGAGCAGTACAATTGATAATGCAAGGATTTTCTATACCAGTAAAAGCTAAAGATAATTTAGAAACTGATGAACAAGTATTCGTAGAACAATGTGAACATGGTAAGGAATTTTGTAGTTTAGTTACAATAAGAAAATCTGGTTATTTCTGGTGTAACAATATGTGGACAGAAGATTTAGTTCATGAACGAAGACAATGGGCACAAGGAGGAATTCCTATGGGTGATACAAGTGTTAGTTGTTCATTCAATCGTACATTATTACGTTTATTGAGAGAAAAATATGTTATTGAATATCGGCCTGGTCGAGAATAAATAAAAAGAAAGTCAAAATTGTATTAATAAATTAAACAAGATAACTAAAGAAAAATAGTAAAATATTTAGAAACAAAAAGAAACTAATCTTTCACATAGATTTAGTATTTACGAATGTATCTAACGAACTTTTTTCATTGTTGTCAAATTATTATTTTATTCTATTCTAATGTTTTTTATCTGTTTGTTTTAGAACTCTACTTTTTCACTTATTTAATATCAGGACATTTTTGAACGCAGGCAAATCATCATTTTGACACATAATAATACTGATGGATCGTCTTATGTAATCAGATTTTCTATTTCTCAGTTGTTGGTCACTCCTATACGGACTTTGCCTCTTCACATGTTCGTTTTTTTATGAGGATTTGGTTTTTGAAAACACATAATACAACAGGATACAGGCCACCTACGACGATTGATTTCAACATTATGTTTCATATACTCAAAGAAAAAACCAAACTGGCCTATATTACATGCCAATAGAAAAAAAAAAGACATGGTCTACTCATGTGTGATGTTAGCTTTATTATAGAGTCATGTTTTGAGTTAGTGTTTTAATACTTACAGTGAGACCTATACTTATTAACATTTTTATAGACAATAATAAACACATGTTATGCCGATTGCTGAATAGCATGTCGAAGTAGTTTAAGAAGACGCAATTAGTTGAGTTTACTTCAAAAAAAATTCAATTCTTTTGATGATTTTAGGTCACTGAAGAGAAATTTGCATAACATTCTCTTTTGATTAAGATTATTTTTTATTAGCTCTGATGTTATATTCTAAAACAGATTGCTGTAAATCAATTAGAAGAAAATAAGAAAATTTATTTAGTTAAATAGTTATTTAGCTATCTGATCAGTTTGTTTTAGTATGAAACCATACATTGATTATTTTGAATTATTTTATTTAATCGCCAATAGAAAATCTGATACTGATATTAGTATGTCATTTGAAAAGATTCAGCCATTATGAAATTAACAATGAAGTGAAATAATGAACACTACACTTTTTTATTTTGAGAAATTCAAAACTATTAAATATGATAATGATTTTAAATATAGAGTACTACTTTTTATAGTCGATGAAAACCGATATGCACGCATCGTTTCCATGAACATCAAAGTCGATTTGATTCAGATATATATGTGGCAGTAGAGTTTAGAATCTAGTTGAGATTGGAATCGTTCATTATTCTGTAAATGTTATGAGAGAGTGATTCATAGAAATAAAATTTTATTAGTGAGTGATATGAGATAGTTTGATTGATTATATAGATTCAAAAAACAAGTTGTTGTTTCCAAGAT